TAAGTAAGTATACATATAATTATAATAAAGTTACAATAAATTAAGTTAATATATAATTATATATACAGTACCTAATTTATATATAATTTATATATAATTATATGTACAGACGATACTAAATTCAATTTACCTGCCTAAACTGTCCGTAGCGTGGCGCTGGACGGCGGAAAGTAGTTTGGCTGCCCGATGACGTTTTACGTAATTATAGGAGTTTTTTTACCGTTGTTTACGGATACCGCCACAATTTTTTCGCAGTCTTATAGGAATCGTAATTATAGGAACCCGTCTTATAAGGGGATCTACTGTATATTAAATGTGACACTAAACTAAATCATCAAAACCAATACAAACAGTATACAATGTAGTGAAGTCTACATAAGTTTAAAAGTCATAATTTGGTAAAAATAATGATATTTGCATACAAAATTTACTTTTAGTAATTTACAGATAATCAATGTTTTTCTATTAAATTTTTACAAGCTGATTGATCTGTTCACAAATATTCATTTGGATTTTATCAGGGTGGTGCTATTTAGGAAAATGTTATTTCAAAGTTTGTAATTCAACATTCATGTAAATTTATCTAAAATAAAATTATTTTGCAAAATAACTTTTTAGGAAAGTTAAACTTTATAAACACTTTATATAAACAAACCCATACATAAATACTGCAGCATGCCTTTCAAACTGTATAGAAAGAAACATAATTAGTGACACAATTTTGGATATTAAAAAAGATAGATAAATTTAATAGCTCCAAATATCTCAAATATTCAATTTTAAATATAAAATTTAACAAATATAAATATCAGACAATACTAATATATAGTTGTTAATGATAATAATAATAAGTGACAATATCATATTAAATAACAAGTTATAAATTCTAAATAATAATTGATTGATTGATCAATATGAGGCACCATTATATTAAGACTATACGGTCAAACAGACACAATTTTGCCTGTTATGAATTAGTGTCATTTGCAATTAGTTTAGTCAGCAAGGACAAAAGATAAGAAACAATACTCTGATCTAGTCTATCTGTGATAAATTACAAAGGCCTGAATCAAATTCAAACCCATATCCCCATAGCAGTAGGCCATGTAATATCTACCAACATAAATATTTTACATAATATTACATTTTAATAAATTTAAACGGAAAATGAAGAATTCTTACAGGCTCCATATCTGGTAATCTTTGTAAGACAATTTCAAAGGAATCAGGATGATAATGACATTTCTTTCCTACTTCTTCTACCAATTGTTCTGCTGTTGTTGAAGCTGGAAGGTTTAAAGTGATTTTCCAATTTTGTGACTATAAAAAAATTTTTTTAATTGAAGTTTTTATAATAAAAAGTTTCATGCTTATTAAAAATGTTTAAAATAATAAATAACTGAAAACATACTTGAGCATTTGTCATATCCCGAACAATGCATAATGCTCGAGGTTCATCAGCAGCACAAAGACTTCCCTAAAAGTCAAATAAATAATGCATATTTATAAAAAAGAAAATAAAACTAGAAGTTAAAATCAAGTTAATAAGTTAACTTTTATTTTTATTTTTTTATACTAAATTTTATTTTTATATTAAATTTTTATAAAATTTAAACTAAATTTTTATTAACTTCAAGTTAAAACTAGAAGTTAATAAAAATCAAATGAAAGCATAACCAACTAAATAGTATGGCAAAATGCACAGTCATACTACACATAAGATAAAGATTTTAAAACCAATCAATATTTCAAGAGACCATTCATAATTCTTTATAGCAAAATCAGAAATAGAAAAAAGAAAATTGGAATCAAGAATCATCTTAACATTAACTTCTTCACAAAATATTCATATTATTATTATTTATTTGTTGTCTTTAATTTAATTAATTTAATAAAAATAAAGTATCATAATTATATTCATGATTATTTTTTATAACAAATATTTAATTTTAACAACCTTAAATCATTCATAACATCATCACCCACTTCTAGTGCCAAATTTCATTCATATTGATAATTAATTTATAATCAACTTAAAATAGTCTGGGTTAAAAATATCTGGTATTTTTCAAATATATTTTGACTTTAGCTAACTCTAAATTTACTATTATTATTAGTCCTAAAAAACATTTATAATACAATATTTTAATTACAAAATTTAATATAAGTTTTCCTATAAATCAGTGTTTTAAATTATTTTTTTATTTCAACCTAATATATTTGTAAAGAAAATAATAAAAAATTTTAGATATATAAAATACTAAATTAAATTTATTACTTGAGTGTGTATTGTAAATTTGTATTATTTAATTAATTTCACACAACATTCTAAATCTTCAACAGTTAAAAGCATTACTCTCCTCATAATTCTAGAAATTTCTAGCTTATGAGTATATTATCACATTGTAGGATATTCTTCAGATATTCCCATCCTTTGTCAATAATTACCATATTCAATATTTTCACTTTTATACTTCACATATTTTAAGTGTATATCATCTCTAAAAATGAGTGGTATTGTCAAAATTTTAATACAGGTATAACTCGCCTTACATCGATAATTGGTTCCAGGAGAGGCGATGTAAGTCGAAAAACGACATAAGTTGAATTTACTTGTCTCCGAATCTACTTGTCACTAGGCTAAACCATAAATTACCATTACCGGCTCTGTATTTTATTTATTAATGCATTTTTAATAATATATGGTTAATAAGGATCTATTTTAAGCTTACAAACAAATAAATTTTAGTTTTTATTATAGTACAGAAAAAAGTAATTTAAATTTACAAATGCATGTACTGTAAATACAGTACATACTTGTAAATAAATATATTTTAATATGATTTTATGTGTGTTAAACGCTTTTCTAGTGATATTACGACTTCAATATTTGTGGCGGACAGATGTAAAGTCGAATAAAATGACTTAAACTTGATTTTTATTTTTCCATATACTTTTTTGACAAATGTTGTATAATCAGGAATGACGTAAGTCGAGGTATACCTGTATATGCTGATTGCAATAGTTCAAGTAAAAGCACTTTTCCATATTCTTGAAGAATCTCTAAAATCCATCATACCCACTTCAATAATATAGAAAAATATTACTAAAATATAGTGAGGATTTTACAAAATGTCAAAAAGAATTCCATCAGTTTAAGGAGGAATAAAAACATTTATATTTAAAAATCAGAAGTTATATTTTTATACCATCCTTTTAGAAAGTTGGTGTGTTTTTATTCTTCACACTTATTTTAATACGGTACTTTTACCATTTGATTTTATCTTTTATACTTTCAGAGTTTTAAGATAATATGCTATTCAGAATTATTCAAAGTAATAGTTACTCAGCTTCAAACTGGACGACTTACTACACAAATTCTCACTAACCTGTCAAAATAGGGTGTCAACTCTCACCTTTCTAACATTTTCAATACTCTCCAGAGATCTTCATGAGGAAATTTGAATACTGGAATGCTCATTTAATATTCATTTTGAATCAATTTTTAATTTTTGCTGTCATGTGCATTACAGAATGTCTTGATATGCAGTTTATAAGCAATAACAAGGAAGAAAGGACAATCTTGAAAGCATGCTTCCCATGCTTTCAAGATTGTCCTTTCTTCCTTGTTATTAAATCAGTTTCCTTCCCTTCTACATAGCATAATTGTACATGTTATACTTTCTACAGGGTGTATCAAAATGACGTTTTAAAAATTTGGGGGATTGTAGAGTATGAAATTTTGAACATTTTGATTTAAGGAACCCATAGCCGAAAATGTGATATAAAGTTTCTACAGCACTTTGCACTTTGCAGTCATACCGACTAAAATTTGAATGAAACAGCAGAATACAGTATTTATGACAAGTTTTATTGACAAAACAATAGAGTACAATCAAACTGTACATCAAATCAGTGGCTGCACTACTTTTAGAGTAAATGTTCAATGTGACAACCACCAACTTCATTACATAATGTGCAATGACAAACCATGTTTTGTCCGACTCTCTGTAAAATGCCACACTCCCTCTGATGAAAAGACCTCTGATGATGGTATTAAATGATGAAAAGATGCATTCCATAAGCTCATGAACTGTTCTTACAGGAGTTGTGTACACAAGAGACTTTACATAACCCCAGAGGAAGAAGTCAAGAACAATAACATGATGTCAATGGACGGAAGGGTAGCTACCAGAGTGAAGGGTGGTCAAGCACTTCCTACTGCTATAGAAACTTTATATCACATTTCTGGCTATAGGTTTCTTATATCAAAACGTTCAAAATTTCATACTCTACAATCCCCCAAATTTTTAAAATGTCATTCTGATACACCCTGTATAATTACATGAAATTTCAAAATTGATTAAATTTATTATCCTTGTTAGTTTGAAATTCAAGAGATGAAATAATTGCAACTTTGAATTATTGAGTTTCAAATTATTCGAGATTTACAAATATCTATACAATATGCCAAATGCCAGGTAACTAATGTAATTTATTAACAAATGGAATATGGATGTGTATACAGAATATTAAATATTAATTAACAAAAATAGCAATGAATGTGAATATAAATGTGAAAGTAAACAGCACATGTCTGGTGAGAACCTTGCAGATTGTCAGATAGGTTTTATAAAAAGTAAAGCAGAATTCCACAAAATGTAGCCATTGGAATTTTGTTAATTTAAAGACCTGAGGCAGACCTTGGTCAAGTTCAAAAACATTTGTCAAAAGTTTTTGTTACTGGACTTTAAAGGTTGTTTAAAGTTTGTGATTTGTTCCAGTATTAAAAAGAAGGTAATTTTAGTTAATTTTACCAGTAATCATTCTTGTGCATAGCCAAGGTTTTAGAGTAGAATAATTTAAATATATAAAAATTTAGTATCAATCAAAAGTATTTTACAAGATTTAACAGACTTTTTTACATTCCAGAATAGTGTATACCTAAGATTCTCAAGAGCAGAGATCTCTGCTAAAAATTTTGATTATAACTGATTTGAATTATGTAACTCATTGAAATGCAATAACTTTTTAAAATTTATTTCTATTTATATAATATATGGAATTCAATATTCATATATTTGAAAGAATAAAAGCATATGCTTTTGTACACCATGTTGCCTTGATTTTAAGACCTTCCATTCTAAAAAGATGCAAAAATTCAGAATAGAATTTTAAGATTTTTAAAAAATGGTGAGTAAAATTTTTAAATGGGTTTATTAAATTTTGTTAAATAATAAATCAGAAAAAATAACACAAATACAATAAACAGATACTGTTTATGAAACAGTTTCCAAACATTAACTTTTCATTTAATGAAAATGAAACATTAGCCAATGTGGTTAGCTAAATTACTTACTGCATCTTAAAAGAGTGCTAATGTTTTTGACCTGGTTAATGAACCATCCTTAGGCATGAATAGTCTTGGAAAATGGGTAGAAAATGCATATTTTTTAAAACAAAAAATATGTTATCTATATATATAAAAATGAATGTGTGTGTGTGTGCGCGCCTGTCCTTCATGCATTACCACACCATTTATCCGATTGCTGTGAAACTTTGGAAAGTTTTTTAATACACTCCCGCAAGGTTTCTGGCATAGTACATTTATCCTATGATAGATGGCACGTGTGTATACGAGCATTTACTGTGTGTTCGATCGATTTCAAATTGTGAAGACCATTTCCCCCCTCCAAAAAATATCTCTATATATGCATTTGTGAACTGTTATTTACGATATTAGTAATAATTTTTGTTTAATCACTTTATTTCAACTTTTTTTTGCTAATTATGTATTCGCTCGAACTTTGGTAAAACCTTAACTGTATCCCGAACAACAACCGAAGCTGTAGAAGGAAATTCGCCTATTTTACCGATCTAGGGATCCCCCTTTTCCAAATTTTAATATCAACTGAAAATAATTTAAAAAGACAAATTACAATAAAATGGTTTATTATCCAACTATCAGAAATTTCACAACATGCCAAGGAAGATAGGAAGGAGCAATTAAATAATTAAAATTATAAAGGATTAAAAAATATATATAAAAATGGGGAATATCGCACTTCTAACAATCTCTGCGAGTGTGTGGGCTAAATTTAAAGAATCTCATTACGTC